GCTTATAAGTGACACAAGGATTGAGAGAGAGAGAGGAGGGGGGGGGGGGCTGGGCAATTATGGAAAGGGAATAGTTCGGGAAAAAGCACTGATGAGAGAGTGGCCTGCACTTAGAACAGCAGCGACAAGAAGAACAGGGCAATAGAGCAGGGAAATAAAATAACTATCAAAACAATTATGATCTAAGGCGTCACAGAGAAAGTCACATATTGTTTCAATGTGAAATAAAAGAGAAAAACAAGAATCAAGGGTGGGAATGATAGCTGACTGTGAAGGGGAAAGGGGGAGTAGAAGTGATGGTAATCAACTAAAGTCTTGGTACAGTACTGAGTAGTTAGCAGCTAACTTAGTGAGATCATGAGATACAGCCTAATTGCATCCCCGCAGTCAGCTGAGACCTTGGGACATCATCAAGTCACGGGGATTGTTACAAACGAGCCGAACAATGATTAAGGAACTAACTAGTAGATAAGTAACTTGATAAGTTGCTGGATATCGTGAAAGTGGCAGACAGGGAGAGTAGTTGGGAAGGATAAGACAGAGGGTGTGGAATAATGCACAAAAGAACCACTTTAGTTGAAGTTGAGTAAACACAGTGGTTAAGTTAACTAAGGTAGCTACCGTAGTTACAGTACGAGTACAGTAAGTACGTCACACTCAACTCACTCTATGACTGACTCCTCAACCGGGCAAACCGGGCAATCACTGGGCACCCAGCAGTCCATGACCCACAAATCCACATACTATTCTTTTATGTAAGCTTTGCTGTGGCTGATGAACGGGTTGTGGCGGGTGTGCTTTGGGGCGGCGGCGGCGGCGGCGTTCCTGTCGACGAGGGCGGACAAGGGCGGACAAGCTAAGCTACACACGCAAGAGCGAGCTCATCCTCACCCTCCATCCGCTGTTCTCTTGTATTGCACTGTACACATCTCTTCTCTGTTACTCTTCCTGCTTGATTGCCCCACACTCTATCTACTTCGTCCTTCCCCCAAATTCCGGCAGGAGATATATCAAACTTTCTTTTCCATCTCATCGAAAGTGATAGACTCCACCCCAGTTCTGCCTTGCCGTGGCAGCACTATCTGTCGTCATCCATCATGGCGCTCGACAATTACTACCGCAACAAGATTGAGAGCATGAAGCTCGAAATCATTCAAGGCCAGGCTGTTCTCAGAAGACTTGAAGCACAACGGAACGATTACAATTCGCGGGTACGTCTACTCAGGGAGGAGCTAGGCCTGCTTCAGCAACCCGGCTCCTATGTTGGTGAGGTAGTCAAGGTCATGAGCACCAAGAAGGTCCTTGTCAAGGTCCACCCGGAAGGCAAATATGGTAAGCAAGATCTCCGCATCATGCACATTGTTGATTTTGATATGTTCATTACATGCTGACTCTAGCGTCTCTCTGTAGTTGTGGACATCGCTGATGGTGTCGATATCAGCAAGTTGACGGTTGGAAAGCGAGTTGCGCTGTTATCCGACTCGTACAAACTGGAAAAGATGCTGCCCTCCTCCGTCGATCCGCTGGTGTCGCTAATGATGGTCGAGAAAGTACCTGATAGTACGTACGACATGATCGGTGGTCTTGACCAGCAGATCAAGGAAATCAAGGAGGTGATCGAGCTGGGCTTGAAACACCCGGAGCTGTTTGAATCGCTTGGTATCGCACAGCCCAAAGGTGTTCTTCTCTATGGCCCCCCAGGAACCGGCAAAACGTTACTTGCCCGAGCTGTCGCTCATCACACCGACTGCCGGTTCATCAGAGTCAGTGGATCGGAATTAGTGCAAAAGTACATAGGTGAAGGAAGTCGCATGGTCCGTGAGCTTTTTGTTATGGCCCGAGAGCATGCGCCGAGTATCATCTTCATGGACGAGATCGACAGTATTGGGTCCAGCCGGATAGACTCGGCGGGGTCGGGTGACTCGGAGGTACAACGGACGATGCTGGAGCTTCTCAACCAGTTAGACGGGTTTGAACCTACGAAGAACATCAAGATCATCATGGCTACTAACCGACTCGATATTCTGGACCCGGCCTTACTGCGCCCTGGTCGTATTGACCGCAAGATTGAGTTCCCACCGCCGTCGTGAGTTGCTGACCCTTGTCCTGCGATTTTCTGTTGCTACCACTGTTCAAACATTTGTGTTTCACCACCAGTTGGCTGACCAAGATCTTTACTATGACAGAGTGGAAGCTCGTGCCGACATTCTACGGATTCATTCGCGGTCAATGAACTTGACCCGAGGTATCAACCTTACGAAGATTGCCGAAAAGATGAATGGATGCTCTGGAGCCGAGCTCAAAGGAGTGTGTACGGAGGCGGGCATGTATGCACTTCGGGAGCGACGTGTGCACGTCACTCAGGAAGACTTTGACCTGGCTACTGCGAAGATCCTCAACAAGCATGATGACAAGGAAGTCGCAGTGTCGAAACTCTTCAAGTAAATGGAAGGGTAATTTTACTAGGATTCCCTTTCACCGCCCACCAGGGTGGTCGTGATGGCTGTCCAATACATATGCCATTCGCCTTGGATGGGCTCTCGCCGGGGCTTCAGGCCTCTGCTTGTTGTCGTCAAGTCACGACCAGATGGTGTTTGGGGGAAGTCTCTCGGTCAAATGCAAGCAAGGAGTGATGTATATTGACACGGTATGTTCACCAAGATATTCAGTTGAAGCAATTCAAGATGCGTGTACTCTGTAGCGTTAGTCTATATTGTAATCTTCAGGCCCATGCCCATTCCCAAGGGTGAGCAGCGAGGCAGGAATAAACCGGGACCATGAGGGTGGTCCACATCCCTTTTTTGCCTCGCAGCGTGCTGTGAGTCACTGACTCCTGTCACGTGCAACTCTGCAGGTATCCTTACTATTCACATGGTACGAGCATATAATCAAATGTGCATTGCAAGCAATTTCGACAGACCCGCGTAGCTAATGCGTTGTATGCATTTACACGCTAGGTCTAGGATGCAGAAATACCAGGGCGACGATCAGTGGGCATTAGTTGTGCTTGGCAGCATTGCGAGGGGGTTCAAAGACTAAGCAGAAATTGTCGACATTGCAATCATATTGCCTTCAATCTGGCTTGGCACAACAAGTTGGCTACTAGGTACGGAGTGGCTAGTCAGTTTGTGGTGGCCTGATGGTCTTTTACAAGTAACTAGGTATATGCAGTAACCTCAAAAGTGTTCTCTGTACGGAGTAGTAGACGTGTGCATACAATGAGTCAATAGCCAGTGAGCAGGAATAGATTTGCAACTGTACAGAGTACCAAGTGCAGTCATTGATTAGCTTAGTTGCTAGATCCGTTGAACATATACGGAATTCAATTGAATAAGAATTCAGTGAAGAATCACATTATCCAGATTTTCTTTATCGATTAAGCCACTGCTCTGGATACTGTGTCGGGGCCATCAACTCGGTCGGCCCCCCATCCGTTCGCCCCGGGCTTGGAGAAGGGGAGGTGGGGTCCATCGACTCCATCCATATCAACTAATCGTAAGGTGAGGGTGCGCGTGTGACCAGCCGGTATTTTCTCTCATTTTACTCCGTACCTACTTAGAATTTCTTGTTGTTGCTTTTCCGTTACCTCTTTTAGCTTTGCTCTTTCCTTCCTTTGCAGTTCGCCTTCCCAATCACAAATTGCCAGATTGTTCATCCCCACTCTTGTTGAAATATTTGGCATACATGTACATACTCCGTACTACTAGTTACATCCTTAGTAACTCATACTCTACACCCAGATGTACAGCACACAGACACTGCACAGACATTCTACTAAGACAATTTAGTGAATACTCTATGTACCGGAGTAAGTTGATGTCTTGACCGGTAGTGTGTATAGAGTAGGGCCTCGGCTTTCAGTGGGGCGGTCCAGATCCCCGAGCAACATCCCCTAAAAGTCTGATACTCAGTACTCCGTACTAAGTAGTAATACTGTAGAATGTACTGTACTCCGTACTTCGTACGGGTCGACCTACTCATTAGTCCAGTGGGTCCGAGCCCTGGGATGGGACGGAGAAATTGAAGCCGTGAACGAGGGCCGGGGTGTCTTGTTGTCTCCTGAATCATGCAAGTTCGCCGAATCTTCTTCCATACTCATGGTTACTTTTAGGTAGAGCGAGTACCCGTACTGTACAGTTCGTATCGACTGAGAAGTAACTTTCTGGTTGAAGTATTTATACGTACTAGATCAATCTAGATTAACCATCCCCTGCTTCCCTTGTGCCCGGTAGGCATACAAAGACTATAATCTTGTACTAGACCGGTAGTACATGGTATACATCGCATGCATGAATGCCATCTTCCCCCGACTCCGCCGATACAGTAACTATTAGATAGAGTACTCCACTAGTCAGTCATGTGCATGTACTTACTGCACAGTACATACTGTACATACGACGGAACTCTCGGTGTTTCTAGACTAACTAAATTCAATCATGGTTATACACCGTTGGATGACAATATGACAATATGTCGGACAATCTCTCGGTCAGTGGATGTCGTCGTACATACGATGGCAACAGGTGTCCGGTATATCTATGCCTCCCTCCTGCTCCTACTGTTCTCTGTCTCCCTTCTTTTCTGCTCTCTTATCCTGGACTTCCTCCATCCTCTGACCCATAAACCACTCGAAACCCTCACTTTATCTTTGATATACCTTACCAACGCTTGACAGAGTTCGCTGATCGTCTCTGTTCGTACTGGTAAATCGGAAGCTATCCGTTCTCGTGAATAGCTTCTAGAGATTGTTTCTCGTTATACTCAGCCAGTCACCGCCACTTTTCTTCCTCTTCTTCTTCTTCTTGTTGTTGTCATCGCTTCGCCACTCACTTATTCTTACTACAGCTGTCCCCTCCTTTATTACGCGCAATCGTCTCCTACTATATCGACCCAACCATCGCCTTGGCTTGTTTTTCTTGCACGCGCGTCCTATTTTCTTCGCTCGCCTTCCTCTTTTCATCGGCGCATAATCAAATTCCACGCCATTTACATTCCCTAACATGCCCGAGGGGGAGATATGGTCTACTTCAGTCACCGCCATCGATCCTGAGCATATCAAGGCCATGCCAGCCGTTCTTTTGTCCACTATCGAACTGCTGGAGATGGAACTGGCCAATGCTAAAGCCGCGCTCCAGGAAATCCAGCCCAGTGCTGCTCCTGTGTTCTCACGAAGAGATGAACTCGCTCTAGGTGCGATGACTGCTTATCGCCAAAACCTCATCGGCCGCGCCCCTGATTTCTTTTACGGTGCTAGTCGGTTGACCTCAAAAGAATTGGGGCTTGTGCCAGTGGTCGAGGAAGTGCTACCTGATGATGACGAGGACAGTGACGGGGCGGCCAAGGAAGACACTGCGAAATCCCAACCCATAACTACCGTACTGCGTAAGCCGGCTACTCTCACCGATGTTTTGTCGAATAATGTGATTCTCGACCATATCGCCCCTTATTTATCGACCCCAGCTTTGTTTGCCGTGGCCTCGACCTCGCGTGTTCTTAGATCTTTGGTGATAGACACGCCATACGTTTTCCGGCATCTTGATCTGAGCCGATGTCGCGGCGCCTGCTTTGCCAGTGAATTACCAGAAAACCTTGAGAGTCAGGTCGCAGGGGAGGATCAGCTGAGTGACGCACTTACAGCGGATGGCTTCTATGCGGCACCTTTACGAGGCATCTTTGACCACCTCGAACGAAAATCAATCCTGCAAGATGTGCGGACACTGATCATGGACGGGCTATCTGTGCCGGCCGAATTGATTGCCGACATCATTCTGACAGATCGTTTCAACATCAATATTCTGTCGATAAGGGAGTGCCGGCATTTGAACGAGCGTAAGTTGATGCAGGTGCTGAACTATGCGGTCAGGCCTACACGCCCGAAAGGAACCCCGAGTTTGAAGGGGATATATCATTTTACACCCATGGCACAATCGCGTGGTGCCGTACGCAGTAACTACCGTGACTGGTGGAACTCAAGATGCTCCAGCCAAGGATCAAGCGAGCCTTCTACCTCTGGAGAAAGCCCAGTATCACGTGGCGAGCCAACGAGAAGTGCATGCAGTCAAAATCCCTGGTACTACCCGTCAGGCAAGATGTTCAAGCGGAAGATAGACGAAGGGTGGGCAGAAACAATCCAGAAGTGTGAGGGTATCATTGCCTTCGACGCTGTGCTGTGTCGGGGTCCGCAGCACAATGTTGAATTGCACAATCCAAGCTTGCCGAATGACGAGAGTCCCCAGCCAGAGAGTCGAATGCTTGCGCCGGCAATAGCTACTGTTGCACTTGGTCCCGGAGGATGCGATGGATGCCATTCAGTACCCGAGGGACCGGCGATTTGGGGCGAATCCCTCGAGGAGCGATTTCCTCTGCTTGCGCCACCTCCATTGCATTCATCCACAGTGGCAGCAGCGAGACACCCTGCGTTCATTCCTGACAAGCAAGCTGCGTTGATAGCCCGGTGTACAGAATGCCTAACCGATCGCTGGTGCCATCGTTGTAATAAATGGTTCTGCACCAATTGTTTGCCACATCCAGAGCGCGTAAGAAGCAACCTCACTCCGCATCAGACTGCTACCAGAGAACCCAGAGGGGACGGTTCGAATATAGGCGGGCCTGGTGTGAGCAAGGACTGCTGGGAATGTGGCCCAACGGTGAGTGCCGTGTTTAGAGTCCAGCTAGCGCCTTTCTGATGGATCATCCAGTGTGCCATGTGTAAGGCGGAGTGCCAACGGACATGCAACACCTGCCAAGGAGTTTACTGTGTTGAGCACAATGAAGGGTGCTCATCGACCCTGGTATGTACAAAGACCCCTACTTTGATGAGGAGAGGCTGACCAAGGGGGAAGTGCGATTGGTGCAATACCAGCACACGCCATCGAGTGAGAGAATTATATTGATTTGATTGTAACCTGGTGCTCTCGATGGTTAACGTTATACATCATTGTGGGCTTTTGTCAGCAGGGGAAACAACTGAGGATTGGGGCTAGAGTGCATTGAGAGCGATGTCACTACACCATATATACTCTCTATAGTTTGAATTCAAGATTCGTTAGCTTAGTTGACTTAACATATCATCAACTTGTCACTCAGTGGTTGATTAACAGTAAGTAACTTAGTAAATACTACGGAGTAACTTACCTAAACCCTAACCAAGTCGTGCTGCCAATCGGGATGACAAATCCCCGACCTCTTTCTAGAAGGCCCGCGGTACTTCGGTTCTCTCTTGCTCTCAGGAATCATTGCTCTCCTACTATTGCCTGCAACCCGCACCCACCCTTTTGAAGCTGCGTGTAGGCAAATTATCTAATCTCGAAGATGACGGGGGTAATGTTTATCAAGCAATCTCCACCCATCCAACATTTCCTCCTGATCCCCACTCTCCGCTTTGGCTGCTTTGCCCATAAGGCACCCTGCTAGGACTAAACACCACATTTACCCACCACCTACGAATACTGTCCTACGAATACTTCCCTACGAATACTGTACCTACACAGTATAGTACTGTACATACTGAGTATAAGGCTATGGCCTCCGATCAGGGCTCTCTACATTGGTCAGCGCAATTGACTGTCACACCTTTGGATCTCACCCCTCAACTTCCAGGTGATAAAATCACACTGCCCCAGTCGGCTCTCGAGCAACTCCTTGCCGCGGCCCCGCTTCAAGACACCGTCTCGCCTGCTCCTGCGCATCCCTTCACCACCGCCTTCGACCCCTTCAATCCCTCCACATTTGAGACCGAGTCGCGAGCACGCGATCGCGCCACAGAGCGCCAACATCAGCTACCTCAGCCGCTGACATTCCGCATCGTGAATCCTCAAAATGACCGCGTGGTCTATGCGGGTATTCGAGAATTTTCCTCAAGGGAAAATGAGATCGGATTGAGCACCTTCCTACGAGGCGCTCTCGGATTGAACAATTCCGCGCCATCACCTTTAGAAAAAGATGCTGCCTCGAACATGCCAGCGAAGACCCCATCTGCTACAGTGACGGTGCACGCACATCAGTTACCGAAGGGCACGTATGTGCGCTTGCGCCCGCTTGCAGCCGGATACGATCCGGATGACTGGAAGGCCCTGTTGGAGCGGGTGCTACGTGACAGCTATACGACTCTTACTATCGGCGAGGTCTTGAACGCAGTTAGCGGCCAGGGTGAGCCGTTTCGTTTTCTGGTCGACAAGGTGGAACCCGAGGGCCCCGGAATATGTGTTGTGGATACGGATCTGGAAGTTGACATTGTTGCTTTGACTGAGGATCAAGCAAGAGAAACTCTACAGAAACGGCTAGAAAGGTCATCTCACAGCATGGGCAGTAAGAATGGTACTTCTCCTGGCGGTGAACTCCACATCGGCCATTCGGTCACTGGCCAACTAGCACCGGGTGATTATGTCGATTACGAGCTTGCCAGATGGGATCGTGGAGCACCCCTCGAAATTCGTGTTGAAGGCCTTGATAACGCAGATGTATACATTTTCGCCAGCCCACTTTCCGCTCGTCAAAGGAACCGACCAAGGGTGGACGAACATGTTTTTGGTGACTTTTCAACGCAATTTTCGAGGCGACTGAAGATCCAACCAACAAATACCGAGCTCGAGAGCGCTGATGCTCTATACATCTCGGTTCATGTCTTGATGCCTGACGCCTCCTCGATACAAGGTTCCAGGGCAAGCTCACCGGTGTTTTACAAGCTGCAGCTCTCAAACGGCACGGCAATCGAGGAAGACGGGCCTCATGTGCGCGAGGGTCCAAGTGATCATGAGCTTGAGGACGTGCAGTGTAAGAACTGCCGCCAGTGGGTGCCACAGCGGACCCTGGCGCTTCACGAGAATTTTTGTCTCCGGAACAATGTGTATTGCCCACAATGCCATAATGTCTTTCAGAAGCGTTCTCCTGAATGGCATGACCATTGGCACTGTCCACATGATTCGTCTTATGGAAACAGTCCTTTGGACAAGCAAAAGCACAATGACATCTTCCATACACAGCATTCTTGCCGCGCTTGTGGATACCAGGCAGTGAGCCTCCCGCGCCTTGCCCAACATCGCACGACCGTCTGCCCAGCCAAGCCTATCCTCTGCCAATTCTGCCACCTTGTGGTGCCCCAACGGGGCGAGTCAGACCCTAGCATGGAAGATCCAGAAGTTTTAGTTTCTGGTCTTACCCCGCACGAGCTGGTGGATGGAGGACGGACCACGGAATGCCATTTATGCAACAAGATTGTTCGAATGCGGGATTTAAAGACTCACCTACGCCATCACGATCTGGAGCGTTTGTCTCGGCCCACACCTCGGATCTGCTTGAACGAGAACTGCGGCCGGACTCTGGACGGCCGCGGGACGCAGAATGCGAATCACCTGGGCCTATGCAGTATTTGCTTTGGTCCACTTTATGTGGACACTTATGATCCAGAGGGAAAGGCTTTGCGACGACGCATTGAGCGTCGGTATCTTTCTCAGATGATGTCAGGGTGCGGTAAATCCTGGTGTCAGAATGATTATTGCAAGACAGGGAAGCAAGTCAGGCAACCTAGCGAGCCACTCACTCCGACAAGTGCTGCAGCCATCCTCGCGGCAGTGCGGCCATTGATTGACGCAGTCAATCTTCAAGGCTATACGCCGAATACAGCGCCTTTCCACCTATGTACGGATCAAGTAGGCCAGCAACGACGCTCGCTCGCGGAAATACTCGCCGCAGAAGCTGCAGCAGGAGAGGGGAAATCTTATGACCTGGCATGGTGTGTTGCTGCCGTCGAAGCCTCTGCAGGCAATTTTGATCGATCGCGCGAGTGGCTGGACAACTGGGCTCCGGCTCGTGGCGAGAAAACAAGTATGTTCACGTAGATAGTCAATTGCATTAAGCTAAAGCATGAAATCACAAGAATATTAGTCTTTCTACCTTTGGCACATAAAGTAGAGGGTTTAAGGTCCAACCTTTCTCTAATTTCTTTATTTCGACCACTATTCTGCACCGAATGGGTCCAATCAACACTCGGGTGTAGATCAGCGCGAGATCATCAATAGTGGCAACCTAAGGGATGTCCGACCCAGACCTGTGATGACAGTAAAATGCGAAGTCATACTAAAGTTGCGGACTGGACAAGGGGTTGGCGAAGTATACTTCTTTTTTACCAGAGTAACTAGACCCGTCAACCAAGGAAGGTTCAAGTACGCCGCTAGCTCAGAAACTCGAAGATGCACTTATGGTATAACTAAAGCAGCGAGAGAAATCATGATATTCATACAAATCTGCCGCGAAGCCAACCAAGCGGTGCCTTCGCTGCGAAGGTGCGGTTCGACTTGCAAACAGCCTGAGTGCAACGCTTAGTCGTTCTAATGTAAAGACTTTGATGGCTGCGCCTCCAGTGTGCGCCCCAGATATCGATTCCGTAGTCTCGGTCAGGCAGCGCCCGTCTTGGCAGCCAGGGTACCACTTCCTCGGGAGGAGAAGATTCCCATGATACCGAAGACCACATAGAACAGTGCCAGCGGATACGCCACCAGGCCTCTCATGCCGCGCATACGGGCGACGGCGCAGAACATGCCCGAGGAGCTGTAGGTGCACCAGCCAACGGCGGCGGTGGTCAGGAGATAGCCGAACATGGTATCCATGGGGATGAGGATCCCGACCAAGCTCGTCAGCACCAAAGGCAAGAAGCAATAGCCAAGTACGCTGGCGGAGCGGGGGAAGGTCAGGGTTGCAGAGAAATGGCCGGCGGCCGAGGCGTCCGACATGGTGGGTTTGTGGTGCGGGGAGTAGTTGGTGGGATCGGCGGCGTTGGCCACGGGAACCGCGTCGAGCGCGGGCGACATCAAGCTGAGAATCAGGTGCAGGGCAACGGTGCCGAATACCGCGACGCCGTAGATATAGCCATAAAAGACCTTGCCGGACAGCAGGAGGAATGTGCCGTAGAGTACGATATAAAGCAGCGCGCCGTAGAGGTCGCTGTCGTCCATCAGGTGCTGATCAATGCGAGCAAAGGGATTCAAGACGGTCAAGGTCTAAACATACAGCATCAATGATATTGCAGGTCAGTCAGAGATGTTCTTCAAGATAGTGGCCTTGTTTTCTTTCTTTCTTTTTTCCTTTTTTGCGTCATGGCATCCATTACCTTCGTGCGAATGTGTTCAAAATTGACTCCCAGCTCCTCCAAAAGCGGCGGCTCCCCATCGTACCCTTCTGTTCCAAACGCAGCAAGCCACCCCGTCCGTAAACCGCCCTGTTCACCCATCCTGCCGCTCACTCCTGCAGACGGAGAGCCGAAGCCGCCATATCCGCTTCCGACCCCTCCGACGGGATAAGCTTGGGCGGACGGATTAGAGGGACCTCCAAAGCCTCCGTAGGAAGCTTGAGAAGGGGTTGTATGACCGGACACAGACTGGTAGGATGTTGGGTAGAATTGAAGGTTCTGCGCAGAGGCCTGCGCTCCGTAAGGCTGTTGCTGCGGGTAATACTGGGCCATTGCGGCCAAGGTCAGGAGGAGAAGCGGGAGGAGAGGAGAAATTTTGTGAAGAAAGACGCTGGTGTTTTATTCCGCAGCCACTGAAGATAAGTTAGTCGCCGAGTAAATGGCAGGTTTTGTGAGTGGGTGAGGGAAATTGAGGTAGATGATGTATGAGAGAGAGGCAAGAAAGAACAGCTGGCTGGCGGTGATGGAAGATGGGGGCCTTACTGATGCCTGAGGTGTGTAGTTGTACGGTACCCGGCAAGCTGGCGACCCACTTCGATTTACGGAGTAAGGTAGAGTCAATCTAATGTGGAATCAGCTTATCTGATCTATGAATTCTAGGAATGGACGGAGAGTACAGTACAGTGGTAACAGTGCATATATAAACAATGGCACGGTCTCAAAATGCTCGATACAGGCTGCTAGAGAATAGAACAACATTCTTCTATTCAAAATGCTACAATACATCGCTCTGGCTTAATTTTACAGGAAGTTAATGCCGATTCCCATTTGAAGGCCCTTGCGGCCTTCTTCACCTTTACGCAACACCAGTGGCAGAGAGAAGTTCAACTCGAATCTGGCAACTGGATGAGCATAAACCAGTCCGACACCCGCCGCAACGCTGGGCAAACCATTTGCCAGCTCGGAGATGGTCGATACCATGGCATCTTTCACCTCACCACTGGAAGTGGGGACATTCTTGTCAGCCGTGCGAAGTGGCAGAAGACGACCACCGTTCACAAATGCTTGTAGACGGAAAGGCTTGTCGGCACCCACTCTCGGGAGTGGAAGCAGCAAATTGGCACTTCCCGCAGCATACACGTCCCCTCCAACCGCATCCGCTCCATCATGAGGTCCGAGGCCGCAAAGACGGAACCCACGCACATCTGTGGGGCCTCCCAGCAGGAAACGGTCGTTAACGCGAGATAATTGTGGTCGAGAATCGGAATCAAGCCTGAGTGGGTACAAAAGTCCCGCACGGAATCCAGTTGTGAAACTGACGCCACTGTCGCCTTTGAGACCAGGGATGGGGACGGGGACTGCAGCTTGTGTTTCGATCTCCGACTTCCAGAAAGAGACATCACCCTTGAGCGGACCCCAGCCGGCCACCTCATTGAAGACCTTGGCATAGTAGCCCCGCGACGGAAGGAGCGCATTATCCCTCCGATCGTTAGTCCAGCTGTGGAAGACGCTGCTCTTCACGCTGTCTCCGGCGTCGGCACGAACAGTAGAGGATGCATTTTCCGAAAGGCCAGTCATTTGTCTCCAGAAACCGTTGTATCCAAATTCATGGTGGTGTCCGGACGAGCTCATCCAGCGAAGTTTGCTCCATCCGCCTTTCAGCACCTCCTCGTGGCTTGCCCAAGACTTTTGTGTGGCACTGGCAATTCCACCAAGCTCCAAGCGGAAATCGGGGTCGCTGGAAAGTGGGGTGTCGAAGGTGGCCTGGTATGCGGATCTTGTTCTGGTGCCCAGTGAAGCATTCAAGTTCAGGTTCTCTGCGCCTCCAAACACATTACGCCAGAGAAGGTTACCATAAGCAGATCCTTCAGCGTTTCCAAGATCAGTACCCGTCTTGAGCAAGACGCGAGACTTCTCCTTGACCGACAGCAGGACATCAATGGTCGGGAGACCAGTTTGCGGGTCAGCCAGTGATGACTGATCGAGATATACCGAGATCGGCTGTTGAAAGACATCTGTAGCCGTATTAGAATCTAACTTGTAGTAACATAGAATGATACAAGGAAACAACCCACCAAACCTGCCAAGCTTGTCCGCACGTGCCGATACTTCCTGCAAGGCTTCCGAGAGCGTATAGGGCCTAGTATGATTGCTGCTAAGCAGAGGGTTGAATATCTGCTCCAGAAAGCTTCTGCGGGTATGGCGAGCACCATGAACCTGCACTGAAGAGATGACACATGGTAGAGTGGAATTTTGGTCGATCTGATGCCATCATGAACAGCCGCGTTAGTCATTCGTTGCTGATTTGCCCGGGCTTTCTGGCCCAAGGCAGAGCAAGTCGAGGACAGACGAGTCTGCGAGACTGACCAATTCACCGAGGCGATTTTGTGCCTTCTCATAGATCGCTCTGACCCGTTCATTGACAGCTTTCTGCTGCTCTTCCTGCACTTTTGGGTCGGTACGTTGTTGTAGACGCTCGAAGATCTAGAAGCGCGAAAGTCGAGTACGTCGTCAGTCCAAGCGCTTTGTGATAGTCAGTGGGACAGAAAGAAGGGATTGACTGACATCTCCGTCATCGGCGGAAAGTGGAGAAGACATTGCTGCGGCGGCAATGGCCAAACGAGAAACCTTGCTTGCTTCCTTCACTTTTCCACTTTGGCACGGTGATGCGAAGACCTCGGACGGACTGAGGCGATCCTCCCGCGCACGTGACCAGTAGTCCGAAGGATGGGGAGAGGGAGGGGCGCTTAACTTACGGAGTATAGTTAAGTTAGTAAGGTTGTTAGTTAGTTAGCCTTTCGGGTCGTCCAGCCGCTGCTCCAGACTTCTGGCGTTTCATCCTTTTTGTGTCTTACCAACATTCACTTTCATAAGCAACCTGCCTGCATTATACAAAAAGGAGAACTGTCTTGCGTCCTGATTTGATTTTTACTACCTTCTTTCTTTCTGGGTTTCTTTTCTAATCCCTATTCATCTCTCATTTCCAATAGCCCGACGTGCGTCGCACGGCCGTTGCTACGAACTATACAGCATGGCGACCAAGGCAGCCTATAAACGGGTGGGTCGATTATCTCCCTGCTTGCGGCCATATATGCAGTCTTGTCTAATCTTAAAACAGCTCACTCGCGAATATCAAAATATTCAGAAGAATCCCCCGCCATACATCGTTGCCCACCCCTCAGAAACCAACATCCTCGAGTGTGTACCCCCTCACCCCGTGATTTGGCTCGAGCCGTTCATTCTTGGATTAATGCTGATATACTTCCTTGATCAGGTGGCATTACATCCTCACCGGCCCTCCGGGTACGCCTTACGAAAATGGTCAATACTGGGGAACTCTGATGTTTCCCCCTGAATATCCATTTGCGCCACCCGCCATCCGCATGCACACCCCGAGTGGTCGGTTCCAACCATCCACTCGCCTTTGCCTCAGCATCAGCGACTTCCATCCAAAGTCATTCAACCCGGCCTGGGAGGTGTCCACCATTCTGATCGGACTGCTCTCTTTCATGACAAGCGAAGAGATGACCACTGGGAGCGTGAGTGCTTCGGAGGCGGAACGGAGGGTGCTAGCTGCACGGTCAAGATGGTGGAATTCCACCGGTGGAGGCTCTCACATCAGTGCTACACCTGGAGTCACTCCTTCTGCCAGAGGAATCAACAATGTCAAGGCTGGAGATGGTGGATTGAAATTTCGTACGGAATGGCCAGAGCTCGACCACGAGAATTGGAGATGGATGAAAGACAGCCGCATCGACACGAACACAGGCCAGCTTCTACCGGACCCCAATGCTGCCACCAAATGCTCCCCAGAAACCAGTGCTCTCCGCAGACGGCCCAACGGTAGTGCTCCAGGTTTGGGAGTTGTTGTGGAGGGTGGCCATGTCGCGCGAGAAGCAGGCCAAAGCTGGGTTCGCCGCAACAAGATTTGGCTAGGCTTTGCCATCGCTTTCGGGTATGCGCTGCTTACAAGGCTGGTGAACGATGTCCAGGGATGAGCCGCTTAAATATCTCTTTTCCAATTCAAAGAAATTTGGGCCGATTCCGTGTGAGTAATGCATTGACCCTCAACACACTTCGTCTTTTCGATCACCTTTGTCCAAAGTAAAGGGCATAACGTTTAATCCATCCAATTGACTCGGGGGGAAGTTCATGCGGGCTTATGTGATTCCATGTTTTTGTAGGGCGTTCGAAGAATGGCAAGGCGTCATTTAATCACCACTGGAATATTGTTCTAGGTCTTCAAGAGCTTTGCATTACAATAGCCACTCAAAGTTGCGAAACTGTACATATACAATATAGCGAGAGCAAGAATGACAGATCTCGAGATACCTGCATTGTATATCGGCTACTAATAATTGGTTGCCAAACTACAGACATCACGTGGGCGGCGGGCGGCGGGCGGGCGGGATTTCCTCCGGATTTCAAATCTGGGAAAAAGTTGTTTTTTTCTGTGACGCCAGTTTCTGCTGACCGTTCGCAGATTCGAATAACAAGGCCTTGCTTGACATCGTCGGCATCATCTCTGTCTATTTCAGCTACCATCCCTTGTCATCTCCACCGGCATAATTTCTTACAGCATGGGCTGGTTCTGGGCAGATACACAACCCAAGCCTACTCCCGCGGCTCCGAACCCGCTGGCGGCCTCCGACGCCTCGCCTCCGGTATGTCTATTTTGTGACGCTAAGGAACAGGTCAAAATCACTAATTTTCGTGCCTAGCCGGGGTGTCCCATGCACGTTTCCAATAGCACTTCTGCTTCGCCGACTCCAGCTGCTTCGGAGGCTCCAAGTGCCTGTCCGGTCCGACCTACTGACTCCCCTTTCTATGCGCCACCCAAGCCGCAATCTCCAGGAAATCAAACACCACCACCACCATCCGCTACCCCAGGCGAGACGAAGTCCACTCGTTCGAAACTGAACCCTCTGAATTATATGTTCGCTTCTATCTCTCAGGAAAAAGCTCCCAACCAGACCGTGGATCTTCCCGTGGAACGGGAACTTTCGTCCATCCCAAGATCCGACAACGAAGGTAACTGGGAATACCCTTCTCCGCAACAGATGTACAATGCCATGCTTCGCAAGGGCTATACCGATACTCCGCAGGATGCTGTTGAGGCGATGGTTGCCGTCCATAACTTTCTGAATGAGGGTGCCTGGGACGAGATCGTGCGATGGGAGCGCATTTTTTCCAAGGGCCTCGCGGAGGGCTGGGAGAAGTGTCGACGTGGAGAAGAGAACCTCGCAATGGAGGAACTCCGGGAACAGATCTCTGGCTCTTCCCAGCAGACCCCTGCGCCGCGGCTCATCCGGTTCCAGGGCCGGCCTCAGGAGCTGACGCCCAAGGCACGGATTCTTCAAGCCCTAGGCTGGATTTATCCGGCTAAGTTTGAGTTAGTTTTCCCCACACTGTTGTTCGCTATTCATGCGCTTCCTTGTCTTTTACTAATACTATCGTTCTCTTACTACAGATCAAGCCCGCCCTTTGATAGACACGACTGGTTTGTGATGCGACAGACCCCAGCAGGCCCGAAGGAGGTTCGTTATGTTATCGACTACTATTCCGGCCCACCGGAACCCAATGGAGAACCGGTGTTCTTCCTCGATATCAGACCCGCTCTGGACTCACCGACCGCTGCCGTTGAGCGGCTGATGAGATGGGGAGGAGATGTTTGGTGGCGGGCTAGCGGCGCCTCAGTTCGAGAGAATGGCGGAAACTAACCGATCGTGAATGTGGTTCTCAATGTTGAATTTCTTGGATCTTTTGCACTGGTATACACTCCGAGAAGGCGCGGGCGTCTGACCAATAGTCCTACTCTATGGGACTGTTCTCCTGTTTTCTGTGGCTTTTCATTTTTATCACACCCCTCTCATGTATCATGTATTCTTTACTACCTTTTGCTGTGAGCTCCTTCAACGGTCAAGTTGTCCGTGGAGGACAACGACCGCAATGATCTCTTGTACTCGGCTCAGGTATAATTTTCTCATTTCTCTACTTGGCGCCGAGAATCTATACTTCGTTCTGGAATCTGTTCTACATGTATTATAGAGTGCGTTCTGAATTTGTTAATGCGGCGGTTGCATCGGGATTTGTATTCATCGTGGTTCATATTCTATCGATGTTCTAAGTATCAATAAGATTACGCGATTCTGTACATCAGTGCCAAGGACTTGCTGTTGACCTTCTGATTCGATCTCTCTTCAGATATTAGGGGACAGCAAGTCATATTTGACGCACTGTTCAACGCTGTCGATGCTGCTCTGCAGCAGTTCACGCGCTTCAAGTCCAACCCAAATACGGAGCATAGACACATCCCCGGACCGAACGGATCTCAGGGAAGTGGCATTCGAACCGAGTTTTCGCAGTATTGGCAGGGCACTATCGGCTGCATCAGTATAGAAGCTTTGCGCGTCATTCATCGGACAGGCCCACCTTTTGAATAGATCGAGATCCGGGTCCAAGTTCCGGCCAATACCTTCGAGAAGAAGACAGGAGATGACGACATTGACGAAATCCCCTTCCATCCGAACATGATGACTTCGGACCATGGACAGCACCTCACTCAAAACATCGCCAATTTTGACGCTGCCCAGTGCGAACGTCCGCGACTTGACGTTCAGGACCAGGTGCTCCATTCTCAATGCAAAGTAATGAGGGTCAATCACAGCTTCTGGCTGGCGGCAGCGCTCAACCATAAGCTCACCCGCTCGGTATCCATCGAACTCGGCAATCGCGCGAAACAAATCGATGAAATTTTTGCGGTTGAGGTCGTTTAATTGAGTCACGAGTCCGGTATCAATAAAGATAAGTTGTGGTCGATATCCTTCTGCGTTCAACTGGTCAAGTACCGACTCCCAATCGCGCCGATTACCGGCATGCGGTCGCAGCCGAGCAAGCACAGACTCTGTGACATCAACCTCGGCTGTAGTTGGCGCATCCGATGCACGGCTTTTGTTGCGGAGAGACAGGTCCAATTCACTTGGCTGATAGAATCGTACCATGATGTTTCCTGGGTGTAAATCAGCGTGGACAAAGTTGTCGATCAATAGCATGTGAAGGAATGCATCCAGGCCCTCATTGGCGATTTCTCGTTGGTAAACCCCTCCGCCGACGTCAAGGAAGGTCGAGAGGGGGATTCCCTGGGCGAACTCTTCCACGAGCACCTCTCGGGTCGAATAGTCTATGTACGGATAAGGAAACCAGGCTGTAGTCCGGGTTCTGAATTTCTCCCGAAACATGACCAGGTTTGCTGCTTCGATCCTCAAATCGAGCTGCAGCTTCATCATCTCTCCAAATTGGTTGACTTCGTCCGGCAAAGACAACCAGTGCATTGTAGGAATGGCATTGATCACCGAGGCAAAGAAGGACATGATCTTCAAGTCCCTATGGATCATGCGCTCCACCTTGGGATGCAGCACTTTGACGGCTACGTATGACGAAGGAACCCGCTGGGGGCTGCTCTTGACCAATGCCTCCACATTCTTTCGGACCTTCCCCCGTAAACCGGACGGTTGACCGTCGAACTCACCATCGTCTGTTCCCGCGAGGTTGGGTTTCAGTTTTGCTTTATAGACCTGGGCGATGGCCCCTACTCCCAGGGGCTCCTCATGAAATTCTTCGAAGATATCTTCGAAGGGCAGGTTGTTGAAGGCCTTACTTATGATCTTCTTGGTCTGGCGTAAGGAGTGTGCAGGCGCATTCGAGTGGAGAGAAGACATGATGTCACACAGATCGGGAGGAAAGATGTCGGTACGTGATGCTGCCCATTGTCCGAGCTAAAGAAGAGACGTCTGTTACAAAGTGTAGCAAGCAAAAGTATACGGCTTGGGACTTACCTTGATGAACGCTGGACCTGCACGTTCCATGGACCGCACTAGGAACTTGTACCACCAAATGGTCCCCAACGGCACCGCTTCCCGATTCTTCCCATGTCCTCCAAGGCATAAGATGGGGGCCGTGAACACGACAGGCAGGAAAATAATGAGCAGGTGGACAAAGCGAAAACCGGTAGCTATCGGATCGTATACGAAGCGATACCCGTAAAGTACCAAGGTTTGCCAGAGCCTCGACAAACCCCTTGCTTCCTCGTCGACTTTCTTCTGGATCTCTCGGCGTGAGACTTCGAGCATCTGCATCTCACTTGTCTTGCCGCGTTCCCCGTTCCCTTCCTCGGCAAGCTTCAAAAATGCCCCCGGAGCCAGCGCAGCAAGGAGTACCCTCCGACATCCAGGGGCATTTCCTGAACGTCTCGACCCGGATTGTCGCGACCATATTGGCTGACGGCCGAAGCGCGGTCGAGATAAATGGGGAAAGCGGGACAAAAGCGGCGGGCCTCTACCACGACACACAATGAAGCGGCCAAAGAGGACGGCCGTCCTCATATTCTCATATAGAAAAGTTTCGAGTAGCGGATAGAACGGTCATTGAAGAGCAAGACAGAGGCCCCGCGTGAGCATAATGATAAGTGGGGGACGGCCATCAGTGTTAGAGAAGAAGGGAAGAAAGAAGAGCAGAGTGAGTGAGTGAGTGAGTGAGAATTGGAGCTGCGCGGGCGGCGGGCAGTGGCCGAGCACGTGGTTGCGACGTCATCGTCACCATCGTCATCACCAGCATCAACAACACCAGAATGATCAACAGACAACAGACAAACTACTCAGTACTATTCATATAGTACTATGTAAGTACTAAGCGATATGGCCGACCCTTGGTTCTTTTTCCGATCATCAGCAAAGGAGATTTGTCAATTTGTCACCGGGCAACTCTCCTCTCGCTCGACTCGGTTGACTCGGCAAAAAGTCCAAATCCGGCTGTCATGCGTTTACTCGGCATGAACTATCGACGAAAACAGGTCTCTGTCTCTGCTTTTGCGGTAACTGTAATCTATATCATAGAGCCCACTGCACTCGAAGTCGCTCGATAGCTTTCTATCTAGACCAAGCTCTGCGGAAATGTGAAGACATTTCAAGTCAATCTGATCATTCGATCTCAAGCATGGGCCATTCTGACTACAAACGTGATCCCGAATCGCTTCGTGACACTGCGCCGAAACGCCCTTGGTGGACGCCCTTCTCGCTATGCCTCACTTTCCTGTGCCTTTGTCTGCTCAGGGTCATAATAGTCCCTCACTGCTTCGGCCGATGGTCTTTTAGCTGGGGCATCCTACCTAGACTCGGAAAGAACAGTTCGCTCGCTCCCTTCTATGCCTACTCCGAAGGCTCGGGTGAATTCGACAAGCCCCAGGGCTTTGATATCGTTGCCTTGGTTCCGTTCCGCCATTGGCAGCGCACCGAGATTCTGAATTGTTATTTGCAAGTGAGTAAGAACCGCTTTCTGTAGTGCCAAAAATTCATCGGCTTACTTGGACCGAAAGAACAATCTCGTTTCCAACCATGGTCTCGTTGATCAAGTCGTGTTTCTGCCCCAAACGAACGATACGAGGGGGCTGGAATGGCTCGCATCGATAGTCGAGCAGAACCCATTGTACACGCTCGCGCAGGGAGGGCCCGGCTCGCAACTGGATCGATTGAAGAAGGACACACTGTACATTTGGATCGATGGCGACATCGTGTTTCTAGAAGACCATACGATTTCGACGGTCGTCAAGACCAAGCTCGAACACCCCGGTCTGCCCTTGGTTTCGGCGAACGTCATCAACGAAGCAGCCTTAGAGGCCCTCCATAGCCATGCCAGCGTCGCCTTGCCTTATCTCCCGGAGCTGAGCCCCACGCAGTCGTCATCCGAGGCCGACATGCACGATTGGCGTGCCTCGCATCTCCCGCCATGGCAGGGGCCCAATTATTTTACCGTGAAGAAGGAATTCGCTCCGCCCTTCATCAGCCACCGATGGCTCCTTTCGGGCTACAGCAACTATAGCCGCACTCCCATCAGTATGTCGAAGTACGCTCCGGAAGGGCCTAGTATGCATCACTGGACTGTCAACGCTCAGCAACATTACTCTTTTCTGCACCACTTGGAGCTGAATCATCTCAATCGGTACAAATTCCCCACGTGGAGTGTGCCGTCAACAAACGTCAGCCTGAACTTCCTTTGCTTCTGGGGCAGTGTCGCAACGGGTCGGTTGCTCACGGAGTTTGATGGCATGACATTTTTGGAAACCCTCGCAGACGACCAAAGGGGGAAAATTAGTATAATTGATGGGAAAGGATTGGCTGTACACTATTTAAGCAGCCAGGGTCCGGAGGGTCTAGATTCTACTGATTTGCTCAAACGATATCAATCGTTTGCAGAAGAGGCTATCTGTAAAGGCATATAGGCTCTCTGTGGCCGGGATTTAACTAGAGCAGCACCATGGGTGTTCTATTTAGGAATCATTGGTGGACTGAAATGCACATTTAGGATCAGCGATAGATATCGAAAAGTTTAAATCTAAGCTTTGATGTGGGTATGTGAGCACCTTGCTCTTTCTCCGATTGACATGCCTTATAAGGTTGGTTAATTGTGCTTATTCAGTTAGTGAGCTGAAGGTGTCTGGAGGCATGGCTGTTCATCAGTCTTTGAATACTGGCCTTCGAAGAATCCGGGAGAGTGTCCACCTGTAGAATATGATGAGTATATCGCAGACGCGGTGATTAGAGTCCGGATCAACTTACATCACTCTTCAGCAACTCTTGCATAAGCACGATGATGTTGCCGCGATCCTTGTTGAGTTGCAGGTTGTCTGCCTCGGTGGAATCGGTAGAATCTGCAGCAAGCACTTCCTCGAGCACTGGCAGAATGCCCATTTTCTCTATACATTTCGAAGCTACAATCAACCCACCTTGTGTCGACGCCATCAAAGCAAGAGTAAACCAGCCCTCGCTCCGAACAACTGGCCATTGTGACTGGGTGACCATGGCACCCACAGGTAAGGGAACATCGTCGTGCAGCTCAAAGGCTTTTCTAAGGAGGCCCTCGGCATCGCTATCCTTCTCACGCACTCTGGGGACCAAGGTGCGGCATATAGAAGCCACGATGCGCCCAATCTCCGTTTTGATGGGGGCTGAGTCTGTTTTTTCAAACAGCGCGAGGAGCAATGAGAGGTAGGTCTTCCCTTCACCCTCGACCTCCTTGTCACCCACGGGAGCCTCCTCAAGCAAGCGAGCGATGTTCCCCACCGAGGAGATGATCACCTGCCGTGTGATGCTAGTTGCAACAAACTGGACCTGGGGGACTGTCTCATACTGCCAGAGGCTTGAAACGGCAGGAATAAGGCCTGCCTCTCCGAGCCGAACTTTATTGATACCGGCAATTGCCAGGTTCTTTAAAAAGCCGAGTGCAGAGTGGAGCACTGCACCCCTGGCTTCGCTTCTCAGAAGCGATATGAGCGCCTTGTGAATGTTCAGCTTTTCAACCATCTCTTCGCAGACTGCGTCCGATCTTGCCAGATTGCCAAGAACAACACACGAACAGATCTGAAGCTGGTCCTCCTTTGCCTCCAGCCAAGAGCCCAGTAAGCGCACAAGATCGGAATCAAGCGGATAGAGCTCTGCGAATAGCGGCAATGCGGAGACTTCGGCTAGAGTCTGATTTATCTTCAACCGGGCCTGTGCCAAGGCATGCATGTCCTCTTTAGAACATTCCTCATCCTTGAATAAAAGTGATCGCTCGAGAACTGATAGAACCCGGGGCATCAAGCCATTAGACAGACACGTGGTTTGAAATCGCGTTTTGTCCAAGTAAGCACCGAGACAGGTAACGAGAGAGGCATAGTGCGCTGGAGATAAAATCGCCCTCTGTTCATTCAGCAGGTCTAGAAGAAGTGGTAATGTGGCATCTGGGGATGAGGAAATCCCTTGCTCTGTGAGGATACCGTTAGTCTAAAGAGAGTCTCAAGGGTCGTTCGTCACGCATACCTTGTTCCCCAACCAATTCAATAAGCTCGTAGACATAATCAAGTAGAGCCTGGTGCTTCGCAAAAGCGTTATCCTTCAACAATCTCAGGAGAATATAGATAATCTTGTTGGCAGCTATCTGAGACTGGGCGGGTTCTGTACAATGTCAGCTCTGAGGAATGTCCATTCGGAAAGAGTACAAATCAGCATTTACCGAAATCAATGCATATATTATATAGGACTGGTATAGCCACCTGAATAAGCTTTGTGTTTGCCAGGTGTCGTATAATGGCGGAGGTGTAGTTTTTCTCAACTAGGATCTCCCTGTTCTCATCTACCTAGCAGTCAGTGCTAGACTACGCTATGGCACGGACAAACGCGAAACTTACTCGTATCAGCGCAGGAATTCCCGACTAGTCGCAATGCATGCAGGAGAAGGTCATCATCGATAGCCTCCGTTGATGCTACAAGCCGGAGAAAGAAGTCTAGTATGCCAGCTTGCCCATACAAAATGCGCCAAGGTGCTGTAGCTCGATTAGAACACCAACAATGGCTACAATGGACGGCTGCCTTACCATTCCTACTTCCATTAGCCAGAGCCTCAGCGGCCGGTAGCAGATACTTGGTCCTGCATTTCCAGAGTTTATAGAGAATCTTTTCATCGTCTATAAAGGCTTCAATGGTGCATCGCTCCTCCGCTTTCCTTAGCGACTCCTGTAAGGAAGTCAACAAAGACTGTTGATCTTCAAGTGGCACCGGTTCAGACTCTTCCACCACCAGTCCCATAGGCGAGAGGGCCAAAGTCGAGAACACTTGTTCCAAGTCAGGACACTCAATCCCCTTTGATAGCGCTGCTTCCGTCAATGCACACGACGAACCAATGGCCACATCATCGCCTTCTTTGGCCCTTAGTACGTCTGGTGCGGTGCTCATCCTTCAATTTGCAGTTTGAACAATGTATCTGTGTATCAAGCTTGTTTGATAGCCTCAGTTGAGCCAATGTATCTCGGATACAATGGTGGGCAGATGGAGGCCTCTGTTTCTGGCTAAATCAGTTTTATCCGAAACTGAATCTTCCGTCAGGTCGAGAGTATCGCTGGAAGGATATATATACGAATTTGTCCTTTCCCTTGGCCCGGGGTCTCGGTTCCCACTGAAAGACAAATGAGATGTTTCTGGTTTCTCTTTGTAGATTGGAGCAGAAGAGAGAATCGGCCTGCCCGTAGTAGGTTGGTAGTACCATGGAGTGTGAGGCACCAATTAGTTAAATATTACCTTGGTTCTGATAAACGTGACAGATCAAGGCGTATCGAAGTCGAGGTATACCTGGGACTCTGTTGCAGTCTGCGACATGCGACATTACCATGGTGAACCTGTTCTTCTTACTGCTTACTTCTCATCTGATAGCATCCGAGTGAGGAACCCCAGTTACTTTCATTAGCATCTTGGGTAGGGGGGCGCGAAATGCAGTGCTCTTCTGTTAATGTAGTGTCCAGTGTGTCAAGCATCAACGCCGTACTGCAGAAAATGGTGATGTGGTAATACGAAGTAATTACCTTAGGTATCTTACCAGATGCCAACCTGTCATGAGGGGCGGCGGCAGCAGTACGGTGGACACAGCGGCCACGGGGCGCAGCCGGTCTCACCTACAAGCGCGTCTATACGGCGAAGAAGGACAGCACTGCGGTTCTTCAATCTAGTCACTCATTCCTATAATTCAAAGCACTCCTTCAACAGACCTTTCGCCTCGTCCGTCACATTGTATTGGCCTGATCCCCAGTTTTGTGCTCGGACTTGTACTCAACAGGCAAACCAAAAATCATCAATCACTATGACGCGTGCTCAGCAGACCCTCTCCGTTCTCCTGCTCGTCTCCTCGGTATGATGGATAGCCTCGCCCTCTCAACTCTCTGTTGATCGCTAATGCGGAGTCCTGGATTCAGCTCTACCTTTCTCTATACCTGGGTCTTGTTCCTCTCAACGAAACCATTCAGAATGAGATCATTCCTGTCGTACGTCCTGCAATGAAACCCGGCTCTTTCTCTGTCCCCTGCCTCTTACCCCGCTGACCATCTGCGTCTTTTTTGAACCAGCTTCCCTTCTATGCTCTGATATGCTTCGGATGCTACCTCCTCGGCCGCTTAGGCTTAGCGATTCTCACCTTCAACGATGTCCCGGAGGCGCACACGGAACTGCAAAAGGAGATCGAACAGGCCAAGGCCGAATTGCGCAAAGCGAACATCGACGTTGACTGAAGTCATTAGCGCAGGCGGACGGTTGGACCATTCACACCTCCAGCAATGTACTTTATTGTGTGGAATCTGTACAATTTATGTTTATCCGATAACGCATCGCATATGAAAGGGGGGTTGGCGTTTGGTGCGGCACATCCACAAGCGTTGATTGCTACGGACAAGGATCGATATTACAGGGGCTGCACAAGATTGGCTGTAGCTTAGGATTTATCCAATGGATGATTCCTATAATTATATCGCTTCACCTGTGATGCAGTAGTCTGTCATCTAAGCTATGCAGGGTCCTATAGGCAATCTAGACCAAAAACCAGCTAGGTCAAGGACAATAACCCGAGCTGCTTCAATCTTGTTGTGCCGGACGAAGATCCAGCAGGGTACGCTGAAATGTAGGGATTTCCCGTAACTAGTTATGATGGTTCGGAGGGGTTAGCGCAGTATTCGAAGACGATACGGCCGTCTTTCTAGTTCCGTGGGCATGACGAAATATCCCATTCGCGAAACGGGCGGGATCGTCCACATCGAATAGAAAGTCGCAGCATTTTGGCATGCAAAGCCAGACGATTTGATCTTCAGTGGTCTCTTGCTTTTGTTCTATAAAAATCAATCAAATAACACCATCCAGCAATGTCCAATGTCGAAAAAAGGAGTATAATGTGTCTTGTAAACCGAAGCGATGTATATGCATAATAGATGAACTGGGATGCAGGAACGGCGGGTCCGGTGCATCGAGCGTCGGGTAAGTTATGCAGGTGTTGACGGACGAGGAGCTTAGAAGAGAGGGTTTTCCTTGGCCAATCGGTCGTGCTCATCAATGTCCCTGTTGTAGTGTGTGTCAATAACACCTAACGGCTGCAGAACAATGGATAAATTGCGGAATAACAACATACTTGGCTTCCCAAGGATAGCAGATCCATACATCCTCGGTAGTAACCGCGGCATGGTAACGACCGGATTCCATCATATCAGCTGGCAAGACACCCTTCTTGGACTTGTTCTTGTTCTGTTTACCAGGTCAGAAAACTCCGAAGTTCTTCTCGGGAGTGGGAGAGCATGGAGAGATATCTTACGTGAAGCACGAAAATAGAGAAGTTCGTCTTCTCGCCTTCCCGTCCAAGCTGCTTCTGCGCGTCCTCGACATCCTTCTGGAGCTCGCGCACGGCGTATTCGAGGGTCGTGCGAGTGTCGTCAACCTCATCAACAATGAGGATGTTTTTGCCAATCAAGTTCGACATCTCCAAAGAGCTAAGGTCGAGCCACTGTGTCCGGGTGACCTTGGTACCAGGAACCTCCTCCGGATCGCCGCGGCCGAGGTCCTCGTAGAGAGACAAACCGATGGCCTGGATGGGGATGTTGGGCTCGCCCGAGCGCTTCAGGAAAGATCTAGGCACGAGAAGAATTAGAATAGGCGCCTCTGGGTTTCACCTAAAGTGGGCTGCCACGAACCGGAGGATACGAGCAGGAACATAACCACCACCACCAATGGCGATCATCAAATTAGGGCGGATAGTGGACAGGATCTTGTCGGCAGAGTCCTGGCATAGTTTGTGGACCTATAACGTTCCGATAGACGTTAACCAAATGATTGACAATAAGTTGATAACCCCAGGCTGGACTGGCGAGACAGTGCGCGCACGCGGACAGTGATGAACGCCTCAACGAGTGAGAGATACTGCGCGAGGGGGGGGGTGACGCAAATGTCTGGTCTGCAAGGGGCCAAAGAAGAAAAAGCAAGCATACCTGGTTATAGGTGACATAGTACTTTTGCGTCATTTTGGCGGCGGAGAGGCAAGTAGGCACAAAGTGTTGAATACGGTGAGTACGATAGTAGAGAGATCGGGATTGAATCTGGTGGATTGGAGCTTTGACTGAGCACAGCAGCGGAAAGTAGAGGGGGAAAATTTTTCTGGAAAATGATCGTGCCACAAAAGATAAGACAAGCAATGAGGGGTAAATTTAGGGACACTGAAGAAGAAATAATTATCCAAATTCGAAATTTCTTCTCTTGTCTTTTTTTTTCCTTTCTTTTTTTTCCCTTTTTTGGTTTCCTTACTTAATGACGCACTAAGGGAGTCAAGGCTGCACAGAGCCAAAGACTGGGGATAAGCAGAGGATAAGGTTGCCCGCCATCGCCCGCCTGCCAAGTGCCTAACTAGACATGCAAGGGACCTATCAGCTTACAGTTCTGGCCGCTAAATCCCTGAATTGCCCCGCCGTCTCGCTTCCACAGAGACGGAGTCCGGAGACCTCCGGTAGCCTGTAGGTAATGTTTGTATGGGCTTCGAAAATGTATCCATGCATGTACTGTCCGTCTATGGCACTACAGGAGATATACTCAAACATATCAACTTTGTCCTGTGGCTTCAAAGCTCCTCAAGCCGTCTGTCCATGGGGAGTCGGGGACCGTGTGAGTGGTAGGAAAGGCGCGCACCTTGACCGAACGGCTTCTGCTAGTATAGGTTTTTATAGTCGTCCTTACCTGATTGTCTATAGTCAGACCTGGCTCTTAGTGCTTGGTAGCTCAAGAGGATCATGGATCAAGTTAAGTCAACTCTAACAATCTCCTGTTTTGTACTAGCACAGCCGGGTTTATCTGGAATCGGAATTTCTATGCCACTTAGCCCCTGGTTACTAGCGACCATGACACCATGTGCATTGGGGATCCCACCTCATTGGATTCCAGACTATAGTTTAGCGGGGTAGATCTGAAGCAATAATACAGATTGAGTTACTCAGTATAAAGCTCCCAGATTGTGTACCCGGGGCCTTTCGCAGGATACCAGATCAATAACCTCCAAATTAGAGGGGAGTGGCAGGTGTTTATAAGGCCGAGTATGCCTGCAGGTATTGAGTAAATATATCACCCGATTCATGTTGTACGCAAGCTTTGAGACCTGTGGATTGGGTCATCTTTTTCGCGATATTCTTGTGCGCCAAATCATCATCTATCATCGTCATCTGTGATAGAAATAGCTTTTTACACATATGTCTTTCCCTTGTACGGAGTAATTTATTTTATACATGAGATGGATCTCTTATTCCAGATTGTCAAGGGTAATGGCAGGCAGGCACGCGCACGGGTACTTACCGATGCTCACTACGAAAAGGGTTTCTTGGCATGATCCCACCCCTGCAAGCTCATGACAAGAGTAAATGCCGAGGTTCATATGTATGTCCCCAACCGTGTGACCACTATGATCAAAAGTTGCAACTGTACCAAACAGCACCTGTATACTGAGACTTACAGATATTAACACGCAAATCAAAACATCGTACAATGGCCGGCATCGATGACAAGCAAATGTCTGTCCTAATCACAGGGTAAGCTTTAAAATACCTCCTTAATGTGCTTGTGATTCACATGACACCTTGTGAAGCAGCCTTACACAAACCTTCAATAGATAGAAACTGATTGCAAATATGCATAGGTGTTCCCCCGGTGGAATAGGCCACTCGCTGGCTCGTGAATTCCACAAAAATGGGCTACGCGTGTTCGCAACAGCAAGAAGTACAGACACCCTTCAAGATTTGGCATCAATTGGTATTGAAACGTTGAGCCTTGAGGTGGATGACCAAGAAAGCGTACAGTCTTGCTTCTCAGACATCAATGCTAGACTCGGGGCCAAGGGACTCAATTACCTAGTGAATAATGCGTGAGAAATCCTTATACCCAGTTTGAGTTGACGCGCTGACATGCTCTTTAGAGGCCGCAGTAAGTTCTGACTGGTGATGGTCGGGTAATCAATGGACAAAGACTGATCTTACAATGGACAGATTACACGGTTCCAGCGATGGAGGCTGAGCTCTCGGAAGTTCGCGCAACTTTCGAAACCAACCTCTTTTCAGTTATCTACATTTGCCAGGTTTTCTTGCCTCTTCTCATCAGAGCCAAAGGAACCATTGTACAAGTCGGAAGCGTCGCTGGGGTATGCATCTACCACGTGAACTAAAAGCTGAGAGAGACGCGTCGGGATTTGCAGGCTGGTGCTAATGCCGACCCAGATTATTCCATATGTCTTTGGGTCGGTCTACAATGCCTCGAAGGCCGCCCTGCATTCATTCAGTGATACCTTACGGGTAGAACTCGCTCCTTTCGGGTATGCGCCCTGCCCTCCTTCTTGCCCGCAAAGGCATCTCTGACCTTTCTAGGGTCAATGTCACCACGATCGTCACCGGAGGCGTACAATCCCGTATTGCTCGGATCAAACGTACGCTCACTCCCAACTCAATGTATCTCCCAATCGAAGAGGAGTACAATCGACGCGTGGTTCACAGTCAGGATGGGGCCATGCAAAATTCCGATTATGCGCGGAGTGTGGTCTCACAAATACTATATGGACCAGCCCCATTGCGTTGGGTCTGGCCATGGGCGCCAAGCCGTAGCTGGATCTGGGAAGGTAACAAAAGTTGGGTTGTTTGGCTTCTCAGTGGGGGGTGGGCTTGGACTGGCCTGTTCCATTTTCTGATGACAAGAATGTTCAAGCTTTACAGATTGAAGAAGGTGGAAGATGGGAAAAAGGCCGTCTGATTTCTTCCAGGTTTACATGGTAAGGGGTCCGTTGTAGTGGGATTTTGTGCTGGGGACGAGCTTGGAAGATCCAATGAGGTAAATTGATCTGGTCTTGGGACAGTTAAGTATGAGCAACTTAGCTAAGGTTTCCACCTCCTCCTTTGCGCCTTCTATTGTTAACACGAGAAGAATTGAGTCAAGTAGAGAAATATAAAGTAAGGAAACGCGGCATAGGTACCTTGTAGTATCTACCTAGTATCTGCTCAGGCAGTTGTTCGGGATCTTTATGGCTTACTCATGCCGAAAATGCACGCTGGTTGGCCCGTCAGGTGACCTCTCCGATTGCTACCGCCCGTAACGTCCCAAGGTAATAATATCATCCCGAGTTTCGTAGCCGCGAAAAAGAAAGCTGTTCTCCCATCAGCACCCAACTTCCCCCCTCCCTTATCACCAAACCTCACTTTGGAGGATCTTCTCATTTCTCATAAATCTAGCCTCTCTGACAGGTGTCCCTTGACTCCTCTCCTCTCTTTATAATCTCTTTTCCTACCTGGTGTCAAAATGTTCAAGCTTGCCCGCAGCAAACCGGTTACCGCGGCCTTGAGAGCTGCGACGGTGAGTTGTCCTTGCCTCCTGGAAATTGTGTTCTTCATAATCCATATGGTCTCATCTGCTAACACTTGTGGTTACTCATAGGAGTCTTCCGTTCAGTCCCGCCTGGGCCAGCAGCAGAGAAACCTCTCCATCCACGAATACCTGTCCGCGAATTTGCTCAAGTCGGTACGGCACACGCGCGCTATCTACAACCATGTTCTGGCTTTTTCCGGTGCTGACAAGTCGCTAGTATGGCGTCGGAATGCCCAAGGGTGAAGTCGCCCGCTCCGCAGAGGAAGCCGAGGCCGTTGCCAAGTCCCTCGGTGCGTTTTTCCATGCTTACATTTCGAGTCGCGGTTCGCTAAGACTATGATAATAGGTAACGATGATATGGTCATCAAGGCTCAGGTTCTCGCTGGTGGTCGTGGCAAGGGTACTTTCAGTAACGGTTTGAAGGGTGGTGTGCGCGTGATCTACTCGTGAGTGTGACTGGGAGCGTCATATTTGCTTCTGTCTTTTAACATGAACCATTTTTTCTCCAGGCCTACCGAGGCAAAGATGTTCGCTGGTCAGATGATTGGAGAGAAGCTTATCACCAAGCAGACTGGTGCTGCCGGTCGTCTTTGCAACTCCGTCTACATCTGTGAGCGCAAGTTCGCTCGTCGCGAGTTCTACCTCGCCGTTCTCATGGACCGTGCTACCCAGGGTCCTGTCATTGTCGCCTCGTCTCAGGGTGGTATGGATATTGAAGCTGTCGCTAAGGAGAACCCCGACGCCATCATCACTACTCCTATCGACATCAAGGTTGGAGTCACCGACGAGATCGCCACGAAGATCGCTACCGAGCTTGGCTTCTCTGAGCAATGCATTGACGAGGCTCGCGACACTATCCAGAAGCTGTACAAGGTCTTCATGGAGAGGGATGCCACCCAGATCGAGATCAACCCCCTCTCCGAGACTTCTGACCACAAGGTCATGGCCATGGATGCTAAGCTGAACTTCGACGACAACGCCGAATTCAGACAGAAGGAGGTCTTCGAGTGGAGAGACACCACCCAAGAGGACGCTGATGAGGTCAAGGCTGCTACGTATGTTCTTCAAGTGGATCAAACTGATTCGAAGAGATTCTAATCCGGGTACAGACACGGCTTGAACTTCATCAAGCTTGACGGTGACATTGGATGCTTGGGTAAGATCAAATACAAGAGCTCAGATCAATATGCCTTCCGCTAATTTTCAGTGCAGTCAACGGTGCTGGTCTGGCCATGGCCACCATGGATATCATCAAGCTTAACGGTGGTAACCCCGCCAACTTCCTCGACGTCGGTGGTGGTGCTACCCCCGCTGCTATCAAGTCCGCCTTCGAGCTTATCACCAGCGATCCTAAGGTGACTGCCATCTTTGTCAACATCTTCGGTGGTATTGTTCGTTGCGACGCTATCGCTCAGGGCTTGATCAACGTCGTGCAGGAGATGGGCCTGCGTACCCCCATCGTTGCCCGTCTTCAGGGCACCAACATGGAGCAGGCGAACAAGCTGGTATGAACACCCATGGCTTCTCATCATTCTTAGTATGAGCAAAGTACCGAGCTAACCGTATTGTCTTTGTAGCTCAACGACTCTGGCCTCAAGATCTTCTCCATTGAGGATCTCCAGAGCGCTGCCGAGAAGTCGGTTCAGTTCTCCAAGGTCGTCAAGTTGGCTCGCGAGATCGATGTCGGTGTTGAGTTCACTCTTGGTATCTAAATTCCATGTCGACATAGAGCTGCGTCTCCTTAGCTGATGCTCCACTATCTCTTGTATTTTTCTCTTCTTTGTTTTTCTGCAATTTCTTTTCTTGATATCTATATTCTTCTTTCCGGTGGCCGAGAGGACAGGAAGATCCGAGTTTAAATATGCAGCGAGATGCGGAGTTATTGGCCGAGGAGGGCGACAGCCTTTCTTTCTTAAGGTATGATGCTAACGCACTGCTGCTGCTTAGAGAATGATCGGTCATAAGGAGTTGCCCACGAGTTAAACATAATGGTGATACACGAGATGGATCCAGGCGAGAGTACCTGGGAAATTCTTATAGATGGTTCTGTATATCGTCCATGTCTAGGTTTATTTCTTATTGTCAATGTCTTCGTTACAATGATTTAGAATACTCGTGCCATTTGAGGACAATGGCTGTCCCGCTAGAATTGGCTTCCCAATCCCAGAGCCTGATTAGCGAGACATCAGGTCTTAAGAATCATCCGTGAACTCAGCGTGGGCCAGAGTATCATCTTCTACAGGCCAGGCTCTTGTCTCGGTCTGGTGAACCTGGAGAACAAACTCCCGATCCCCAAGGAGAAAGGCGCCCGCATCGTGACAGCTCGGATCCATTCCTCTCGCCGCTCGATGGGGCGGTTGGGCTGATGTGTTAGATACCCATAGAGCTGGTCTGCCACCGTCCTCCCTGAGGTAGTACAGTAGATTGTGGTCCACAGCCGCCGCATTCAAAAAATGATAGGGCCTATCATCCCAGGTGAATTCGTGCAGACTGATTTCATCCGTTTGAGGGTCGTAAGTAGCTATAACCCATTGAAACGATCGCGTGACGGTCCCGTTCAATGGTGACTGCACGAAGAACACTGCGAATCGGTAATGATTATTGTCCCAAGACCGGCTCAGCATCTCGAGCGACCAGTCCCGATGAACGGCGGATAATGGAAAAGCGCGCTGGGTGTGCGCATGTCCTTCGCCATCCATGGAATATTTTCTTATGCACACTCCGTACGTCTCCAGAAGTTCGATATGAACAACGACAAGGGTCTTGGTGGCGGGCAGCAAATCTAGTACTGCCACTTGGGGAACATTCTCGATTGTGTGAGCGGTACGCGACCACATGTCCCAGTAGGTCACGGATTCTGTATCGATCTTGTCCCCGGACTCCGTGACCGTATAACTGTTGTAGGCTACAGCGACTGTGTTGTCGCGTACCGCAAAGCCGGTCACGTTGAGGGATGGGATACGGAACCAGGCGTGCTCCTGGGTCTCCAGATCCCAAACATGACAATACCTGGGGGAAATCAATATAGCCTATGAGCCCTTGCACGCACTACACCTCAAGATCATCCGATCATGTTTCTCGAACTATCATCTAGACAAAGGGGAGTATAAGAAGAGGGGGGAAAAACAAAACTTACGCGCGAGTGCTGATCGCTACAACCACGGAGTTCGAGATCCCCACCAATCGAAAGCGATCACGGTTTTCGGTGCAAAACTGCTGCCTTGTAGAGTTGCGAATACTGTGTACGACGAGGAGGTCGGGGCTCCTAAGCCATGCAAACCTCCCGTGGGCGTAAGCGAAGGTGTTGGGCGTGGGGGCGCTGTGGGGGGTTGGTTGGTCATCGATCACTTTCACGGCCCTCTGTGCGGCGGCGGTAGCGACGGGTTGGCCACGCTCCAAGTAGAGCCTCCGTTGAGCGTACCGCGTGATCTCGGCCGTGGTGAGGTGCGTACTGGAGTTGTTGGTCCATTGGCGATATACGGTGCGCTTGGTAGAAGCAGATGACAGGAGAGCGTGCCATCGTCTCGAGACCTGGGGGGTACGAGCTGCGTTAAGTCCCGGTCCATCAACAAGTCTGCTCCCCGTGTCCCTGATAGTCACCTACTCTCCTGAGCACGTGAAGATCGGAAACGCTCAGATGCTGCACAATCTGGAGGGCGACCTCGGGCAGGGACTCGCCTAGGATGTCTTTCTGGAAGGTCCGCTGTTCGATGCATGCGCGTAAATCGCACCATTCGGTGGAGTTCAGTTGGTTCAGCAGCCCATGATACCTGCGACTTGAAACTTAGCACTATCACGTCTGGGCGGGGAAACAGATAAGGCAGGGGGTGGGCTTAGAACGAGTTGGCTCATACGCAGCTCTTCGGGCGGAATTTGTGCTCAGACTGTTAAAAAGAGAGATGATCTGCTGGATGGTTGTGGCATTATCACTAGACGGTGAATCCAGACTCATAGCTGAATTCGGGCACTGCGCCGGAGGGGGAGTTGTGGGGATAGGGAACAAGGAATCCCCAAAGGAAAAGAACAGGTAGAGTACAGAGATAGCAGTGCTTGTGGCGTAATTAGACAGCAAGAATATAATGCGAGGAGAGAAGATGGAGCTGTCACATTGACTATTGTAGATTAAGTTTTATTATTGACAGGACAGGATTTCCGGCTACGGATCAGCTTGGGTGTCTTGTTATGGTAAATTACCATAGATACCCAGAAAGATCTATAAAACTACTAGATTATGAGTATGACTATGTAGCTTTACTTATGATTAGCATAGTACAATGTAGGCAAACAGACTGAATAGATATCAAATGTGTTTTCAGCTACATTATCCTTCCAAAATATGCACCCAGCCTTCCTTGTTCATCCCCTTATTTAGGGTGGTTACTATTGTTGCTTGTGATTAATCAATTGATCTTATTGTTCTCTCCTCTGCGGTTCCTCCCGCCGACTTGATCTGAATAAAGTACGAAAGGTTCTCCAGGCAGCTTACTTGTACTGCACCTAGTATGTTAATTTAGAAGTAACTAGTACGAGTACAACTGTGACTTTAAATTATGCTAGTTCCAACGGAATAAGCAGCCTGCGCTGCAGATCTGATCGTCTTCTGGCCCCCTTCCACGACGCCTCGTCCCTGATCGTTTTCAGGGACTCACTCCTCTTCGTCCTCGTCGCACTGCTGTCCAGTCCAGTACATCCCTTCATATCCTAAGGGTTTCAGAAGGGAAGAGAGGAAAGGGAGAGGAAGTCCTCAGTACCTAGTATTGAAGATGATATGACATCGAATGGAAACCAGCAAGCAACACGAGACAACAAGACTCGTTGACCACCCACGGGGGTTCTCTTCTCTTGCTTTTGAGCTCCACCGAGGAAGCTATGTACGGACACGAGAAGCATCCATCCAACGGACTGGCCAGCAGAATGAGCCTCGAGCAAAATTTCAGGAAAACACGATTGAGAAGAAACGGAAACCCGAAAACTGAAAACTGAAAACTGAAAATAGGCCAGCAAAGCTAGGGTCGACCAATGGAACAAGCCCAGGATGATCGAGGCAGCGGAGAGACTTTTGAAGAAGTGTTGATCCTCAGTTCCAGTCCGTTCGGCCCAGACCCTCTCTTTTCTCCCTCTTGTCTCTCTCTCTCTATCTCGCGGTCTTGCAGTCTCGCAGTTTCTCTGTCTCGCAGTTTCTCTGTCTCGCAGTTTCTCTGTCTCGCAGTTTCTCTGTCTCGCAGTTTCTCTGTCTCGTTCTTCTCTTTGGACTTGTAAATCTTCATCATCCTCATCATCATCATCAATATAATTCATCTATTTACCCTTACCACTATTTACACCATTTCCTCGATCTATTTCTTTCTCCCTCTGTAATTTTAATTTCAATTTCTCTTTTCCCTCTTCCCTCCCTCCCCTTTTCCTCTCTTCTTCAAATCTAGTTCTCTTATTGCCCAATCTACTATTGTTCCTTTCCTCCTATCGCCATCTGCCTTTTCACCCTAAACCCGCCCCACAGGGCAACCTCAACTTCTTCCTTTTTTTCTTCCTCTCTCAATTACATGGTTCAACAGAAACCCAGAAGCCTGACAGAAAATAACGAAAAAAAGGCACCCAACCTTATCATTAGACTGGAAGGAAGGAAGACCAGAATACGAAAAGCAGCATTGAATTTTGCTGGGTCTTTCTCTTCCTACCGGTCTATCTCTCGGTCACCCGTCCTTCGTTTCTACCTCCCCCCCCCTCCTCCTCCTCCTCCTCCTCCTCCTCCACCACCTACTTCTCCGTCGCCGCCGCTGCCTCCTCTTCCTCCTGTTCTCTTTTCCTCTAGACTTTTACCGCGCGAGATGAGCAGCAGCCTCGCCGATCTTCCCTCCAGGAACTCCCTTCTCGCTGCTCCTCCTGCTACTGCTGCCACCGATGCGCCGGGCAAAGTCCGAAGAATCCCTGTCCTCTCCTCCTCCGTCGTTCCAACATCCTTCCAATCGAACGGTGATCCCATGGATGTCACACCTCCAGCCCCGGGCCCTGCGCCCCCCATCCACAGCAGCCCCGATAGCGATCGAACGGGCACGAACCTCAACATCACTACCACGACCGCTCCTAACAGCTCGGCCGACTCACAGAGTGTGAATCACCATCATCTAGGCCCTAATCAGGCAATCGGTGCCGCGGCCGCCGCGCAGCAGCCAAAGGTCGTTCAAACAGCTTTCATCCACAAGCTTTACAAGTACGTCAGCCGTCCAGCTCAATCGTCTTTGTCTCCATCAGAGATGCTACTCCGTGTTCTCTGGGTTCGCACACTGACAATCAAATGAGTAGTATGCTCGAAGATCCCAGCATTCAGCACCTAATATCGTGGTCCAATACCAATGATAGCTTCGTTATGTCGCCCACCTCTGAATTTTCCAAAGTACTCGCGTGAGTCTTCCTACTCCAGCGCGCCGGATCTATCCTACAAATGAGAGAAGGCGCTGACCGATCTATGCAGCCAGTACTTCAAGCACACCAATATATCCTCATTCGTCCGGCAATTGAATATGTATGGATTTCACAAAGGTATGCTGGTTCAGGCCGAAGATGGAGGGGTGCACCGTTACTGATGTCATTGGACACCAGTGAGCGACGTCTTTCATACTGGGTCTCCGGATTCTGCTCTCTGGGAATTCAAGCACGGAAATGGCAACTTCAAGCGTGGCGATCTTGTCGGCTTGCGTGAAATCAAGCGACGCGCATCCCGCCATGCGTTGATCCATCGCGATTCATTTCCAGGCCACAAAGCTGCCTCGCAACCGGGCACGCCAGCTGAGCCTGTCCCGGATGCCACTGAAGCACGCTTGATGAACCTGGAACATTCAATGTTCGATATGCATGCCCGTCTCACGCGCGCCGAAGAAGGGAACGTGGCGCTCAATGCGCGATGCCAATCGATGGCGGAAAGTTTGATCCGTTGTTATCATGTGCGTGGGCCCGATCATTCCAAATTGTATGCCAGCTATGCGGCGAAGGCAGTACTGATCTCGGTTTCGGAATAGTGGACGCATTCGATTTCTCGATTCCTTCAAGGGATGATTCCTGATCGCGAAAGCATCTTGTATCGGGATGGTGAGCTTCGTCGCCTTGAGTCCTTGAAATCCGGGTGACCTAACCTGTAGCAGTGACCGGCATGCAAGCCGAGCTAGAGAAGCATTTAGATGCCGTGCGGTCTCTCGAGCACTCTCAGGATCCTTACCTATCAGTCCGCCAGCCCTACGTTGCCAACATCTCTGTCGAACCCGGCCCGCCGTTGTCCCCGCGTCAAATCCCTCAGGAGGATGGACGTCGTCCTTCGATGATGGAGAATCCGTCTCGGCCCAACATGATTCGCCCTCCTGTTCCCCCACATTTGGCTGCTTCCCCCCGTCGCTTCGGTTCGATCGGGGCCGGACATTCCTCCCCGAACTACAGCCGCCCCCAGGTGCCGGCTGTGGTCACCCCACAACAGCCTGTGCCTCATCCCCTATCTTCGGTCTCGTCTCCTCCAGGCCCCAACCTCACTCGTCGCCATACTTCAGCCGATATCAGACAGCATGGCTGGCCGCCACCGGGAGTGTCGCCATTCCCTTCGACTCATTTGCCCACTCATGCGGCGAATCCCTGGTCGCCGTCGCGACACCGAACTCCGACCTCAAGTGAGCAGCAAGTACGCGATGTGTTGGCGCAATACGAAATGGGCGCCCCACGGCGCCTACAGGAGAGCACTCGTCATGCAACTCCTCCCTTGCACCCCGATCAAACTGTTCCCGCCGATAATGGGTGGCCCCTAGGTCCCAGGTTCCCTCGCCACGAAATGTCCCTCCCTGCAACACGGCGCTCCAGCATGGCAAGCAATGTTCATTCACTTCTTAACCCCGCCGATACGGCTGAGCGACCGGATGAAGACCAGCATGCGATGGCGGACGATCGGAAGCGGAAGCGGCTCGAGTAGACCACGAGACGCACAAAGTTTCGGTTTTGTTTCAGGCAGCGCTCTCAGGCAGCTTCTCGAGATCATCATAGCATGCGACTGCAAAGAACTCAATTTCTCGATACAGTCTCCCTAATTCATCTCCGAGTGTGGCGCAGACGCTCGGAAAGAAAAACGATCTGGAAAAAGACAACAAATACACCAGTCCCTCCCCACCGTACACTGGTCAAGTCTGCGCAACGGGGGCATCACTCTGCCTGTAATCTTTCATATCTCTCTTACACGCTCTTTCGATAATTCAAATGGGTCGGAGCATTCTTTTGTACAATCATTCATGGGGGTGAGGGAAAGAGGGGCTTGGCTCGTTTGTAGCCTATCACGTTTGCGCGGTGTTTCTTCAATTTTGCTAACCTCTTACACTGCTTGGACAGCATGCATCATTGGTGGTTTTACCTACACCAAACACTTTGGGATTATCACTATCGATTCCCATAGTTCACACCGCTGGTTCTCCCAGTCAATCGATTGGTGGCCATGCATACTCTAGCATTTCAGGCTAATTGGGCCACTTCTGTTTATTTATACTATATACCCTGGGTTGAGTGGAACAGAATACTGCTTGGGGACACTAATTTAGAGATGAATCTATAGTGACTATTTGAATAAGACAATGTACAGAATTCAACTTTCACACTAGGCAAAGACTGGTTTGTGTCGGCTATGCTGAGTATATCGATATGATCACTAAACCAAGAGCAAACGAACGAACATTGGTCAAGGTCAGTGTTTGCTTGATATATGGTATGCCACCAGATCGAGCGGGTATCAATATTGTGTTTGGTTTATGCCTATGTACACAAGAGTGGTCGATTACCGAAACACGTACCTAGTAATCACCTCTTCTTTCTCTTCTTCGACCGTTCGGCCAAAATCTCGTCCAAAAAGCTTGTGCCCTTTTTCCTACCTCTTCGGCCAGATGAGGGTTGCGATGGACCGCTTTCTAGTTTGTCGTCGCCACCAACATCTGTCGCCTTGGCCTCGGAGCTCATGTTTTCGGTTTCTCCCGGGGTTTGTTGAGGAGGGGCATCTGCTTTCCTCTTCCTTGAAGACGAGTTATTCTTTCTGCCAATAAGAGCCAAGCGACCTTCCTCCTCATCGTCATCTTCCTGGTCAGCCCCGTGACCGGCGCCGGACGACGTCGCCTTCACCGACGGTCGGCCTGAAGCGGTACCAGCGGAGGAGACCCCCGTCTTTGCATTGGCCTTGGCCGCCATGACTTTCTGATAATTGCGACCGAGAAGCTGTTTCCGTAGTTTGTCATTTGAGTCCAATTCCGTACGATTCCAACTTCCATCCGCGGCTTTCGTCGGCAAAGGCGCTCCAACTCCGAGCCTGTAATTCTCCCCGCCCAGAATCAAGAGGTCAGCGACACGAACCAATATATACCTCGCGAGAGGAAACACGTTTTCTTAAGTCAACGGCATTTTGGTTGGGGAAGGGGTTCGTTTACGTTTCTGGGACCGCCGTGAATATCTCATCCTCTTCGCGCTGCAACTCCTCTTCGGATTTCACATTGGCTTGGTCCTCCGCCGTCGGAGCTGGGAGCCATGATGCGACAAGCCGCTGGCTGCGGGCCAGTGCGACATTGGCCTTGTTGAGGATGATGTCTGTTTCCGATTGTGATATTGACATCCTGGGAAGAATGTTTCTGATCTGATGATTCGGCTCGTAAGGTCAATGAGGGTGCCCTTCTGGGTTTGATTTTCCGAGAGAGTTGCGTTCAATTCATATTGAACTTTTTTTGCGATAGCGAGGCGGCAGATTCGGGCAGAATCCATATTGGGGGACTGGGGGTTCTTCACCGCTTTTCAATCTTTTGGTGATAAGGTTTGATTGGGTTGGGATTCCTTTATACTGTAGAATTGAAGTATGTTTTTGCATGCTCTATGTAGAGTAAATTATTGTCGGTTTGTGCATGTACCGTGGATTGTATGTTTGGGTGATATCGCAATTACTGATACTATGCGTCAAGGAGTTTTATTGAGGGATCATCTTGTAGTGGTTTATATACACTTCACGCACGTCCGGGAGGCTCTAAAAACATCTCTATACTTAATATATATACACAAACACACGCACACGCACACGCCCCCCCACAGAACCATGGGAGACAGGGTATAATCATCGTCTAAAGGAAGAGAGAGGGATCGGGAGAGGCGTAAAAGGTCTTTCATCCATTGTCTCACGTGTGGGCTTCCTCTTGATGTTTCTGCTTCAACTTCTTCTCCGTCTTCATGAACTCCCGGATCCCGACGGGGATATTGGCAAACAGGTCCTCATTGGGATCCGGCAGCGTCCAGTTCGTTTCACTGCCCCCGCCGTCGTCGTCCATACTGCCGCTGGCGGCGTTGACCTCGGACCTCGGCGTCTGGCGCTGGTCCTTGCCGTCGCTTGTTGCGGGCGAGCCCTTCGCCTTCGCCTGCGCAAGCCGCGC